CCCCCCCCCCCCCCCCCCCCCCCCCCCCCCAAAAAAAAAAGGCTCAGCTCGGCTCCCACCAATTGGGGGGTCCCGGAGGGATTTTGGGGGGTCCCGGGGGGGTTTTGGGGGGGGTCCAGCACAGTGAACGCAGGAGTTTATAGAGAGCTTTCCAGAACAAAGCTACGGGAACAGCCACACGATGGCCAGAGATAAACACGGGGACCCCCCGCACCCCGAAACCGGGGGGGGCTGGGACCCCCCGCACCCCGAAACCGGGGGGGCTGGGACCCCCCGCACCCCGAAACTCCGGGGGTGAAAAGGGGTCTGGGACCCCCCCGTACCCCAAAATCAGGAGGGTACAGAGGGGTCTGTGACCCCCTCCCCGCACCCCAAAATTGTGGGGGGACACAAAGGGTGTCCCCAAGCCCCCCCACGGGGTCACCCGCCGTCCCAGGTGACAGAAGGGGAGAGGGGGGTGTCCCCAGCACCCCGAGGTGACACACGGTGACACGGCCACACGCGGTGACACACTGCCGTGTCCGAGGTGACACGGGTGACACACAGTGACACGGGTGACACGGTGCTGTCTCTCAGCCGCTCTCCCCATCACTTGGAGGTGACACAGGTGACACAGGTGACACACGGTGTCCCGCCGCTGTCGCTCAGCCGCTGTCCCCATCACTCCGAGGTGACACAGGTGACACACAGGTGACACATGGTGTCCCGCCGCTGTCCCTCAGCCGCTGTCCCCATCACTCCGAGGTGACACGGGTGACACACAGGTGACACAGGTGACACACAGTGTCCTGCCGCTGTCCCTCAGCCGCTCTCCCCATCACTCTGAGGTGACACACAGGTGACACGAGTGACACAGGTGACACACAGGTGACACACAGGTGACACATGGTGTCCTGCCGCTGTCTCTCAGTCGCTCTCCCCATCACTCGGAGGTGACACGGGTGACACACAGGTGACACAGGTGACACACAGTGTCCTGCCGCTGTCCCGCCGCTGTCCCTCAGCCGCTGTCGCTGCCGGTGCCGTGGCGGCGGGGGCTGCAGGGCGCGGTGTCGCCGCTGTCCCGCGGTGTCCCCGGTGCCGTGGCTGTCCCGGGGGCCGTGGCTGTCCCCGTGGCTGTCCCCGGGGGTGTCCCCGTGCCCAGGGCCCGGGCCAGCAGCGCGGGCAGCGCCTGCAGGAGCCCCCCCAGCGCCTCCAGCTGCGCCTCCAGCGCCCCCAGGCGCTGCCCCAGCTCCTCGTGGCGCTCCTGCAGCTCCGAGAGCAGCTCCAGCATCACCGACTGCGCCTGCGGGACACGGACAGCGACATGGGGGGACCCCGAAATGGGGGGGGTGGGGGGACCCCAAAACATTGAGGGGTGGGGGCAGGGGAACCCCAAAACCACGGGGGATATGGGGACAGGGGTCACCGACTGCGCCTGCGGGACCCCCAACGGGGGCACGGCTCAGGGCACCCGAACGGGGGGGACAAGGAACCCCGAAATGGGGGCGGTGGGGCAGAGGAACCCCAAAAACACGGGGGTATGGGGACACGGGTCACCGACTGCGCCTGCGGGACCCCAAATGGGGGGCACGGGTCAGGGCACCCCGAATGGGGGGGGGCACGGGTCAGGGGGACCCCGAAATGGGGGGCACGGGTCAGGGGGACCCCAAATGGGGGCAGGGGGACCCCAAAACATTGGGGGTGTGGGGGCAGGGGTCACCGACTGTGTCTGTCAGACACCGACCCCGAAATGGGGGGCACGGCTCAGGGGACCCCGAAATGTGGGGGGGTGGGGAAAGGGGGACCCCAAAACAACAGGGGCACAGTCAGCAAGACCCCAAAACAATGGGGGTTTGGGGGAAGGGATGGCTGTGACCCCAAAACAATGGGGTTTTTTGGGGCTGACCCCACAATAATGGTGTTTTTTGGGGCTGACCCCACAATAATGGTGTTTTTTGGTGCTGACCCCCCAGCAATGGGGTTTTTTGGGTCTGACCCCACAGCAATGGGGTTTTTTGGTGCTGACCCCCCAGCAATGGGGTTTTTGGGAAGCAGCTCACCTTGGCCAGGTCCACCAGGGTGTTGGCCTGGTCGTTGAGTTTGCGCTGCTCCATCTTCACACTCCTCAGCCTGAGGGGACAGCGCCAGGCTTGGGGACACGCCCGGGAGAGCTGTCACCCCCCAGGAGCGCTGTCACCCTCCCAGAAGTGCTGTCACCCCCCCTGGAGTGCTGTCACCCCCCAGGAGCTCTGTCACCCCCCAGGAGCGCTGTCACTCCCCCCCCAGCAGCGTTGTCACCCCCCAGGAGCACTGTCACCTCCCCCAAGAAGCTCTGTCACCCTCCCAGAAGTGCTGTCACCCCCCCTGGAGTGCTGTCACCTCTGTCACCTCTGTCACCTCTGTCCCCGGTTTTGGGGTGTCCCCCCCCCATTTTGGGGTGTCCCCCCGGGTTTTGGGGTGTCCCCCCCCCATTTTGGGGTGTCCCCCCGGGTTTTGGGGTGTCCCCCCCCCATTTTGGGGTGTCCCCCCGGGTTTTGGGGTGTCCCCCCCCCATTTTGGGGTGTCCCCCCGGGTTTTGGGGTGTCCCCCCCCCATTTTGGGGTGTCCCCCCGGGTTTTGGGGTGTCCCCCCCCCATTTTGGGGTGTCCCCCCGGGTTTTGGGGTGTCCCCCCCCCATTTTGGGGTGTCCCCCCGGGTTTTGGGGTGTCCCCCCCCCATTTTGGGGTGTCCCCCCGGGTTTTGGGGTGTCCCCCCCCCATTTTGGGGTGTCCCCCCGGGTTTTGGGGTGTCCCCCCCCCATTTTGGGGTGTCCCCCCGGGTTTTGGGGTGTCCCCCCCCCATTTTGGGGTGTCCCCCCGGGTTTTGGGGTGTCCCCCCCCCATTTTGGGGTGTCCCCCCGGGTTTTGGGGTGTCCCCCCCCCATTTTGGGGTGTCCCCCCGGGTTTTGGGGTGTCCCCCCCCCATTTTGGGGTGTCCCCCCGGGTTTTGGGGTGTCCCCCCCACCCCAAACGTGGCGAAGCTGGGTGGGGGAGGGGAGGAGGGGCACTTACTTCTGAGCTCTGCGGGGGCGGCGCGACAGAGACAAAACAAAGGGTTAAACCCGAGGGGACAGCGCGACAGCGCCACCACCCCCACCCCGAGGGACCCGAAGGGACCCAAAGGGACCCAAAGGGACCCCCTGGCCCAGCCGGGACACCCCCACACCCCAAACCCCACCCCGAAGATGGGGGGGCCCGGGGGTCACCCCACAGGGCTGGTGGTGCCAGCAGGGGTGAGGGACGGGGACAGGGACAGGGACAGGGACGGGGACACAGGGACAGGGACGGGGACAGGGACAGGGACAGGGACAGGGATGGGACAGGGACAGGGACAGGAGAGGCGGGGGACACAGACTGGCACAAGGGGACAGGGATGGAATAGGGGATGGGGACAGCGGATGGAGGACAAGGACAGGGGACAGGGGATGGGGACAGAGAGAGAGGAGAGAGGACAAGGGAATGAGGGACAGGGAACGAGGAATGGGGACAAGGGCAGGGGACAAGGGCAGGGGACAAGAATGGGGTAGAGGACAAGGACAGGGGAGTGGGACGGTGGAATGGGGGACAGGGGACAAGAATGGAGACAAGGAATAGGGACAAGGGCAGGGGACAAGAATAGGGTTGGGGACAGTGGACGGACAGCAATGGGGACAAGGCCAGGTGCCAAGACCAGAACAGACACCAAAACCAGGTGACAAACCCAGCAGAGACACCCGCCAGGGCGACAAACCCAGGCCACCCCAAGGGCGAGCAGCTGTCACCCACCCGGGAGGGGCCACACCCCCTTTGGGGACAGGGCGCTGGCCGGGGGAGGTGACAAGGAAGCAGGAAAAGCGGTGGCACTTACTGATGGATGGCTTGGAGGAACTTACGCTGGTGGGTCCGAACTTTGGCGTGGTCGATCTTCTTCACCAGCTTGGTGTGCTTGTAGATGAGCCACGTTTCCCTGAGCACGTTGGCAGCGGCGTTCTTCACCTGCAACCCCAAACCCCACCGGTCACCCGTGAAGGGACACCAAAATTGGCTTTTCCCCATTTTTTTCCCATTTTTTGGTGGGTTTTTCCCAGTTTTGTAGGTTTTTTTCCCAGTTTGAATTGGGTTTTTTCTCAATTTTACATGAGTTTTTCCATGGTTTTTAGTGGAGTTCCTCTTGGTTTCGATGTGGTATTTCCAGGTTTTAAGGAGGTTCTTCCAAGCTTTATAGGGTTTCCCCCATTTTTCCCCAGTTTTTATGGGGCTTTCCCCAGTTTTTAATGAGTTTTAAAGGGATTTCTCCCAATTTAATCAATTTTAATGAGGTTTTCCCCAATTTTAACTTTTTTTTTCCATTTTTAGCAGTATTTTCCCCATTTTAATAAGTTTTAATGGGGTTTCCCGCAATTTTAACAGGTTTTTTTCCATTTTTAATGGGGTTTTCCTCCTTTTAATGGAGTTTTCCCCAATTTCAATGGGTTTTTTCCCATTTCAGTGGGTTTTAATGTTTTTAATGGGTTTTTACCCATTTTAATCAGTTTTATTGTTTTGGGGTTTTTTAAACAATTTTTTCCCCAGTTTTAACGGGATTTTTCACATTTTAATGGGTTTTAATGGGATTTTTTCTAATTCAGTTTTTTCCTATTTTTAACGGGATTTTTCCCATTTTAATGGGTTTTAATGAGATTTTTCCCATTTTAATGGTTTTTAATGGAGTTTTCTCCAATTTTAACCTTTTCCCCCCAATTTTAACATTTACCCCCCATTTTTAACGTGGGGTTTTTTTTAATGGGATTTTTCCCATTTTAATGGGTTTTAATGGAGTTTTCTCCAATTTTAACCTTTTCCCCCAATTTTAACATTTTCCCCCCATTTTAAACGGTTTTTTTTTCTTATTTTTAATGGGATTTTTCCCATTTTAATGGGTTTTACTTTTAACAGCTTTTTTTCCATTTTAATTGGTTTTAATGGGGTTTTCCCCCAAATTTAACAGGTTTTTTTTCATTTCAAACAGGACTTTCCCCATTTCAATTGGTTTTAACGGGGTTTTCCCCAGTTCTAACATTTTTTCCCATTTTTAGCGGGATTTCCCCCATTTTTGGGGCCGGCCCGCGGCCTCACCCGCTTGGTGAGCTGCGTGTCCATCATGAAGTTGTGGACGTGTTTCTCGGCTTTGGTCAGCTCCAGCTTCCGGGCCACCACGGCCACCACCAGCGCCGTGCAGCCCGCGCCCTGCGGGGACAGGGGACAGCGTTGGCCCCACCCCTTCATTTGCATTTTTGCATTAATTTGGGTTTTTTAAAAAAAATATAAAAATAAAACACGGCAGGAGTGTGAAATTCCCAACTCGCTTCTCAAGATGGGATTGGAAATAATCCCTTTTCCCAAGTGGAAAATGTCCTCGCGGTGTCCCCAGGGCAGTGCCACCTCATGGTGTCCCCTCATGGTGTCCCCACACCAGTGTCCCCTCGCCTGTCCCCACACGGTGTCCCCTCTCAGCGTCCCCCGCCATGTCCCCAGACGTGTCCCTCTGTCCTCTGCCTGTCCCCTGCCATGTCCCCTTGTCCCAAGCCGTGTCCTCTGCCTGTCCCCAGCCTGTCCCCAGGCTGTCCCCAGGCTGTCCCCAGGCTGTCCCCAGGCTGTCCCCAGGCTGTCCCCAGGCTGTCCCCAGGCTGTCCCCAGGCTGTCCCCAGGCTGTCCCCAGGCTGTCCCCAGGCTGTCCCCAGGCTGTCCCCAGGCTGTCCCCAGCCGTGTCCCCGTGTCCCCAGGCTGTCCCCAGGCTCACCATGATGCCGGTGAGCAGGCACACGCCCTTGCCGCAGTAGGTGTGTGGCACCATGTCCCCGTAGCCGATGGACAGGAAGGTGATGGAGATCAGCCACATGGCCCCCAGGAAGTTGCTGGTCACCTCCTGCTTGTCGTGGTACCTGCGCGGGGTGGTGGCACCGCTGTCACCACTGTCACCGCTGTCACAGAATTCCTCCCCCCTTTTGTGCCCATGGCGGTGGGTTCGGGGCGTTGTCCCCAAGATGGAATTGGGGACACCATGGGGATGTCCCATGGCCAGGCTGTGTCCCCCGGGGACAATGAGGGGACAGCACAGAGGTGGCACTGCTGTCCCCAGAAGCGCAGGACAGCGATGTCACCGCGGTCGTTGACTGCCCCATTTCGTGCCCGTCGCGGCGGGTTTGGGGCGCTGTCCCCAAGCCAGAACTGGGGACACCATGGGGATGTCCCACGGCCGGGCTGTGTCCCGTTGGGAGTGGGGTTGGCGGACACTGAGGGGACAGCACAGAGGTGGCACCGCTGTCCCCAAAAGCACAGGACGCCGATGTCACCAAAGGCCACCGCGGGTGGCAGCGGGGGGACAGCGGGGGACACTGCGAGATTCCGATGCCACAAACACGGCGGTGCCACCACCCCCCTGTCCCCAAGGGTGGGGACAAGCCTGGCTGGGGGACACGGAGCAGCGGCCAAGCTGGGCAGGGGATGGGGACATGCGGGGACATGGGGTGGGAAAAGGGGAAAACGGGGTGGGAAAGGGAAATGGGATTGGGAAAGGGAATGGGATTGGGAAAGGGAATGGGATTGGGAAAGGGAATGGGATTGGGAAAGGGAAATGGGATTGGGAAAGGGAATGGGATTGGGAAAGGGAAATGGGATTGGGAAAGGGAAAATGGGATTGGGAAAGGGAAATGGGATTGGGAAAGGGAAATGGGGTGGGAAAAGTGAAATGGGGTTAGAAAAGGGGAATGGGATTGGGGAAAGGGAAAAGGGACAGAGGAACCAGCCCGGGTGGGGGCGTGGGGTCTCAAGCGTCAGGAATTTAGGATTGCTGCTTCCCAACCTGCTCTGGGCTTGGAACCTCACCCGGCACCGAGGGACACCGCAGGGACAGGGCGGGGACAGCCCGGGGCGAGGGGGGAGGTGACAGCACGGTGACAATTCCGGGACCCGCGTTCCCAAGGAACACTCGGGATTGCCCCCAGGACCCCAAATGGGGATTGGGAAAGGGAATGGGATTGGGAAAGGGAATGGGATTGGGAAAGGGGAAATGGGATTGGGAAAGGGAAATGGGATTGGGAAAGGGAATGGGATTGGGAAAGGGAAAATGGGATTGGGAAAGGGGGAAATGGGGTGGGAAAAGGGAAATGGGGTGGGGAAAGGGAATGGGATTGGGAAAGGGAAATGGTATTGGGAAAAGGGGGAAATGGGGTGGGAAAGGGAAATGGGATTGGGAAAGGGGAAATGGGATTGGGAAAGGGGAAATGGGATTGGGAAAGGGAAATGGGGTCAGAAAAGGGGAATGGGATTGGGGAAAGGGAAAAGGGACAGAGGAACCAGCCCGGGTGGGGGCGTGGGGTCTCAAGCGTCAGGAATTTAGGATTGCTGCTTCCCAACCTGCTCTGGGCTTGGAACCTCACCCGGCACCGAGGGACACCGCAGGGACAGGGCGGGGACAGCCCGGGGCGAGGGGGGAGGTGACAGCACCGTGACAATTCCCGGGAGTCGCATTCCCAAGGAACACTCGGGATTGCCCCCAGGACCCCAAAACGTGCGGGAACAGGAAGGGACAAAAGTCGGATCCCAGGAGCAAAAAAACCCTTTGGAGACTCCCAGCTCCTTGTGGGGTCTCTCTGAAAGTCCCCCAAAGCCACCACGGAGGTCCCCAAGGCAGGGGACAGCGGGGAGGGGACAGGAAGCAGCTGCTGAGGTTCCAAGAGGAAAAAGGCTCGGGGCCCCTTTCCGCGCCCCCCGCCCGCCCCCGGCCGCAGCCAATCCTAAATCCTGGGGGTCCGGGAGCAGAAGCCTGGGGCGGGGGACAGTCCCTGCGGGCACTCGGGACGGTCCCCGCGGTCACTCACAGTTTGTCCCTGCAAGCAGCAGAGCGGGCAGGGAGGGAAAACAACAGCGGTTAATGCGCGACCCCCGGGGGCTGGGGGGGCTCGGGGCCAGCAGGGGCGGGGACACGGCGGGGACATCCCGGACACCCCGCAGGGACATCCCGGACACCCCGCGGGGACATCCCGGACACCCCGCAGGGACATCCCCGACACCCCGCGGGGACACTTTGGGCACCCCGCGGGGACATTCCGGACACCCCGCGGGGACATCCCCGACACCCTGCAGGGACATTCCCGACACCCCGCAGGGACACTTTGGGCACCCCGCAGGGACACTCCCGACACCCCGCGGGGACACTCCCGACACCCCGCGGGGACATTCCCGACACCCTGCAGGGACATCCCCGACACCCCGCGGGGACATTCCGGACACCCCGCAGGGACACTCCTGAACACCGCAGGGGACATTCTGGGCACCCTGCGGGGACATTCTGGGGACCCCGCGGGGAGCAGCTGAGGAGCGCCCTGGAGAATCCCCTCGGTGGGAATATGACATTCCCGGACCCCTCTGTGGGACCCCAAATTTTTGGTTCCCTTGGCAGCTCCAGCTCTTTGCACCCCTCTGCAGGACCCTCAACCTTCAGACCCCTCTGTGTGACCCCAAACCTTTGGTTCCCTCTAAGGGACCCCCAGTTTTGGTCCCCTCCGTGTCACCCCCAGCCCCAGCAGGCCCCACCCCAGGGTGACACGGCGGAGCTTGGGGACAATCTCCCCTGCCAAACCCCAAACATCCTAACCATGGGGGTCTCCCACCCCTCAAACCCCCTCGACACCTCCTCAGCTGCACCCCCACCCTGTTCCACCTAAACCCCCTCACTCAGAACCCTCCTTGAAAACCCCAAAATGGAACCCCTAAAACACAACCTTTGTGTCCACCCACGAAAACCCCACAAAACCCCCATGAAAACCCCAAAACAGAACCCCTAAACCACGGCTTTTGTGTCCACCATGAAAACCTCATGAAAACCCCAAAATGGAACCCCTAAACCACAGCCTCTACCTCCACCCATGAAAACCCCACAAAAACCCCATGAAAACCCCAAAATGGGAACCCCTAAAACACAGCCTTTATCTCCACACGAGTTAATTTGAGGCGTTTGATTCATTTAAGAGGGCATTTTAGTTAATTGCAGCGCGATGAAGAAGACGCGCTCCGAGGTCATGGTGATGCACCAGTCGTCGGCGCCATTGTCCACCATGAACAGCTGTGGGGTTTTGGGTTAATTTGAGGGGGTTTTGGCTAATTTGAGGGAGTATTTTAGTTAATTGGAGGTGTTTGATAAATTTGAGAGGGTATTTTGGTTAATTGCAGCGCAGTGAAGAAGACGCGCCCCGAGGTCACGGCGCCGCTGTCCACCATGAACAGCTGTGGGGTTTTTGGGTTAACTTGAGGCATTTTGATGAATTTAAGGGGCTATTTTGGTTAATTTCAAGAGGTTTGGGTTAATTTCAGGGGTTTTGGTTAATTTGAGGGAGTATTTTAGTTAATTTGAGGGACCTTGGGGTTAATTTGAGGCATTTGATAAATTTAAGGCGGTATTTGGGTTAATTTGAGGAGGTATTTTGGTTACTTGAGGGGGTTTTGCGGTAATTTGAGTTTTGGAGTTAATTTCAGGGGGAGTTGGTTAATTTGAGGGGTTTTGGGTTCATTTGGGGAGTTTTGGTTAATCTGAGAGGATATTTTGGTTAATTAGAGGAGGTTTGGTAAATTTGAGGTGGGGTTTTTTTGTTAATGTGAGACTTTCTTGGTTAATTTGAGGGGGTTGTTTTTGGTTAAATTAAGGGTTTTTTTGTTAATTTGAGGGGGTATTTTGGTTAATTTGCGGGGTTATTAACTTACGGGGTATTAACTTATGGGCTATTAAGTACGGACTATTAATAATAACTTATGGACTATTATTTTAAGGATGACTTTTTTTACTATAAACCCAAAACTTCTTTTTATTTCTTTTTAGGACCAGAGTGGTCGGGTTTTTCCTTTTTTTTTTGTTTTTGGGTTTTTTTGGTTTTTTTTTTTTGTTTTTTTGACACAGGGACAGTCTGGTGCCACCCCGGGGACCGACGCCAGCAGCTGCCACCCCAGCCAGGTGCCACCGCGTGCCAGGTGCGCTCACCTGGATCTCCCTGGCGTGGTACATGACGATGAGCCCCAGCAGGATGAGCGTCGAGAGGCTGATAAGGCATTTCAGGGCGAACGAATACGACGACTCCTACGGCAGCACCGCCACACCGTGAGATCAGCCGGACCCCGGAGCCCCCCACCCGCGCCCCGAGACCCTCCCCACCTTGGTGTAGACCCCCCAGGAGAGCTCGGTCTCGGTGACCATCACCACGATGCCGAACATGCCGAAGATGAGCGCGTAGTCGCTGAGCCGCTTGCGCTTCTCGAAGAGCGCTCGCCGGTGGCCCAGCTTGTAGCCGATGTTCTGGTTCCGCCGCTCCTCCGCCGCCCCCGGCCCCGGCGGGGCCGCGCCGGGCCCGGGCTCCGCCGCTCCGGTCTGCTCGGGCCGGGACACCACGACCTGCAGGCGGGGGCTGGGGCAGGGCAGCGGCGGCTGCGGGTCCCGGTTCGGCGGCTGCGGGTCCCGGTGCGGCGGTTGCGGGGTGCGGGCGGCGCTCGGGGGTCCCCGTGCCCGCGCCACCCCCCCATTGTAGCGACAGCTGCTCATGGCTCTGCTGGCGACAGCACCGGGCGATCCCGCATGGCTCGGCGGCGCGGGGGCGACCTGCGGGACAGGGGACACGCGGGGGGACACGGTGGGTGGCCGGGGAGGGGACACGGGGGCGGGGGGATCCCGCGCGGCCCCGGTGCTGCTTCCCCGGCGCGGAGCGGGGGGCCCTCGACGGCGGTGGGGACATGTCCTGGCCGTGGTGACACGCAGTGACCACAGGGACACGCAGTGACCACAGGGACGTGTCCTGCGCGTGGGGGGACACAGAGTGACCACAGGGTCACGTCCTGCCCGCGGGGGGACACGCAGTGACCACAGGGACACGCAGTGACCACAGGTCCGTGTCCCGCCCACGCGTGGCGCTCGTGGGGGACGTGGCCGTGTCCTGCCCGCGGCGGGGACACACCGTGACCACGGGCACGCGTCCTGCCCGCGGGGCCGTGTCCGTGTCCGTGTCCTGCCCACGGAACCGCGTCCCGCCCCCCCCGCTGCGGACACGGCCGCCAGGACACGGCCACCCTCGGCTCCCGGTGGCCGCTGTCCCCTGTCCTCTCCCCGCAGCCGCGGGACATCCCCGGTCCCGAGCGGCGGCTGCGCGTCCCCGCCGCCCCCGGTGCCGCCGTGCCCGGTGCCGCCGCCGTGCCCGGGGGGCTCCGCCCG